GGCAGAAGGTGCAGTCTTCAGATCGGCACTGGGCGATCTTGACGTGGGCCCTTTCTCGCAGTCGGGTTGCAGCCAGCCCGACGCTGATGGGCTCTTCGCGGAAGGGTGTGCCGAAACCCCCAGCGCTGCGAGCGCGGGCAGAGGCCATCTCGACCTTCCTGCAGCGGCACCTGAAGCCGATGGGCGGCATCCGTCAGCGGAGGTCCCGCGCGGGTGCGAACCAGCACATGTCCCTTCCAAGACTCCAGTGGCGAAGGCCAAGCTCGCCAAAAATCAGGCGCTGGTCACCATCAACACCACGTCGCATGCGCCTATGGTGGACTACCTTGCGTGTGCGACGGAGTGGGTCATCGCCATCCAGGAACATCACATCCCGCCCGATTTGCTAGCAGACAAACAGCATGCTGTACTTGGTATTGGATACCGTGGCCGATGGGTCCCAGCTATTCCTAGCGATTCAGGTGGGACAGGGACCACTGGTGGAGTTGCCGTGGCTGCGCCTTCCCATCTTGGTTTCTGCGCTCCGCCAGGAGACTCGCATGTCATCATCCCTGGTAGGGCAGTGGCCGGTCACATCAATTGGGGAGTCCCTGTCGGCATGGTGGTTCCATCTACCTCGAAGGCGGCGGGGGCCTGGGAGCTCGCAACACTGATATGTTGTGGACTATTGTGCAGTATTTGTGCTTTTTGAATGTCAAGCAGATCCCATGGCTGTTTTTTTTTTTTTTTTTTTTGGGGGGGCTGGAACATGGGCAGAGATGCCTTGCGCCAATCAAACTGGGCCAATGCCGTCAATGCTGTGACCTACGCACCTACTACCGCTACGTGCAGACAGACCCTGCCAGGCACATGTAACGATACGTTTGTCGCCAGCGCCTCGCTCTCCCAGTTCCTTGGCAGGGAGGTCAGCGTGGGCGAGACTGCGGCAACCTTCCCACATCTCCCTGTACTCTTGCCTTCCCTTGCCAAGCCAGTCGCGACGTGGGCGAAGGGGCCGCGCGAGAAGAAAGCAGCCCTGCAATGCCTCCCATGGGGCGTGCTCGGCCTCCAGCGTGCCCGTGGCGAGCCGTGATTGAGGTTGCAGGTCCGCGAGTGAGCGATAGGCGCAGCTTGGTAGGCTTTTGGGGCCTCGTCTCTGAGGGCATTCACTTTGAGTGTCAGTATATTTGGGGCCACGTGGGGCCCACGGCGGAGGCCCACATAAGACTGTCTGAGGCCCCCACCACTAAGTGGAAGAAACTCACCCGGGCTCCTCGTAGGCGGCGCCCCTATCGTAACGGTACCACGAATGCGTGGGCCACAGCCCTCAGATGGGCCCCGCATCTAGGGAAGGCCTGCAAGTTTGTCCGAAGAAATTCAGCACCTTGGGATGAGCGCTGCAATGTGTGACTTGTTCCCGTCGCAATACATCAAGCTAATTCAGGCGTTTCGAGAGCTCGCTGATGTCCTGGCCTCGGTTGCGACAAGTAATAGGTTCCCGAGCAGCTGGAACAGCCAGTGGCCGAATTTTTCTGCCAGGGATTGTTGGTGCTTGTGCGTCCTGACCCCCATTGCATGCTTAAGCATGTTTATGCTGCCGCCGAGGGCAGCACCCATGGGACTGGAAATGCCGCTGGGAAAGCTTCGTTGGAATGGGCTCGTGAGAGCATTGCGCAGGGGGCCTCATTGGCCCATCGTTTTTCGCTGGCTCGGGCCGTCCAGGAGATTTTAAGTGCCGGTTCTGGCACCCAGCCCCACGCGCTGGTGATTGCTGAGCTGGAGCCTTGGAAGAAGGTCTGGTTGACCCACGGCTGCTCCGCTCAGCCATTTCCCGAGGAGGCCCAGAGTTGGCCTAGTTTGCCGCCCATCCAGCCCTGCCGAATTCGGGAGGTCGCCAAGAGGTACCGTGCCACGACCTCTGCTGGCCCTACCAAGATAGCACCGAGGGCGCTGTTACATAATTCTGATGGGGCCTGTGCGGCCCTCGCCATGTGTCTAACAAATGCGAAGACCTTCTCGTGGGGCCTAGCGAGGATTTGGATTGCGTTGGCGAGGCTGGCCAAACCAGAAGGAGGTACGATACTTATCGCGTTAATTAACACGTTTTGCAGGATCTGGGGCAAGATCCGTCAATCCATCACTTCAGATTGGCAGGCAGCGCACGGCTGCCTCGAGATCTGGGGCACTCGTCGAGGCTGCAGCAGTTCCGATAGTGCTTTCGCGCACAACCTCAGCTCCGAGGCTGCCACTCTAGTTGGAGATATGTCAATTTCTGTGTTGCTCGCCATGACAAAATGTATCGGGATGATTTTGCCCTCCCAAATTCTGAGGGAGGCCAAGGAGCTAACTTTCCCCTTGAAGCTAGCCTGGATGCTGGTCCAGCTTTACGCGATTCCGCGTAGGCTACGTGCTTTCGGCAGCGTGACGGACCTTTTCACGACATTCCGGGGCGTTATCGTTGGCTGCTCGCGCGCGACAGGAATTCTCTACTTGCTCACTTTCAGGGCGCTCAAGCGTCTCTCGCAAGTGACACCGTGCATCACGCCCAGAGCCTACGTGGATGATGCATCCATTCAGCTAGTCACCAGTGACCGGTCAGATGTTTGATGGCTGGAGCGGGCGGCCCGTGCGTTCACCCATGACGCTGCAGAGCTCGGCCTCATTGCGCAGCCCAAGAAGTCAGGTATCATCGCGGCTACCCGAGGTGGACGGCATTACTTCGTCAGGCGGGCCGCCGCGCTGAGGCTGCAGCTTCGCCCGTGGATGCGGAACCTTGGGCATGACCTGACAGCAGGTAAAGTCATCGGGTCTCAGGAGAAGGCACGTCTCCGAGCGCCGCGGGCACGGAAGAAGATATTTCTTGCCCGGAAGGGGGCAGTTGGGCGCAAGGCGTCCAGGTTGGATAGACAGGCGCCATTACGCGACGGCGCTCGATGAGAGGCTGACGGCGGCCGGGCTTCGAAGGCATCCGCCGCCGCCGGATGGCGATTGTTTCTTCCACCTCCTTGCGCACAACGGGCTCGCGGCGACTGCCGCGGAGGCCCGGGCTGAGGTGGTGTCACGATTGGAGCTGGAGTGGGACGCAATCGCGTCGGAGACAGGCTGTCTCGACCCGATGCAAGGGCGAATCGCCCGAATGCGCGCGCCGCCGAGCCCCGAGGAGGGATTCGCAGAGCGCGAGGAGCTCCTGGCCGCTGCTCGCAGATACGACGTCCGCTTCCACATCTTCTCGCCGTGGGACGAGTCCTTCGTTGGCTGGCCGGACGCGACGGGGGCCGCCACCCGCGCCACGTTCCCGCCCCACTACGACGCAGTGGTGTACGACGGCGATCCCGCGACCCAGGTTGACAGCAGCGCCGAGTCTGCGTCCGAGTCTGCTCGGGCGCCCCCTGCGCGAGACGACGTCGCGGGGCTACTAGTGGGGAGTTCGGATTCGGATCGCGTTGTAATCTCCTCCGCGCCGGCGGCCGATGCGGCCCCATTTGATGTCATGGAGTTCCCCGCGGGGGAATTTGTTGGCGCTGTTCTCGATTGTCCCGAAGCGACTTTGCGCGCAGCTGCGCCCCGTTGGACCAGGAGTCGCGAAGACGTCAAGGTCGGGCGCCTGCGCTTCAGGGGATGCGCAGGGCACGGGCGCTGCCGGCGTTGCCAGGCGCGCAGGGCGGGGAGGGGGTCGGCCGCAAGGCAGCAACGGTCTCGCAGCGGAAAGTCTCGGATTCCAGCGGCGTCCTCCCGCGCGAGGTTTTTTTCCAGATTCTCGGACAGGGGCGGGCCCGCCTGCGCGGGCCCCCGCCTCGGCCCAGGCCCCCCCCGCGGGGTAGTCGCTGCTTTTCGGCCGAGCCGCAGGCGTGCTCGCAGGGGAAGGGCCGCGGCTACCAGTTCCGCGGGCGCTGGGGGAGCGGCGGCGAGTACTTCTTGTCGGTGCGCAGCAGGGGGGCGCGCCGAGGGCCCGCCCCCCCTTTGCGGGCGAGCACGCGCGCCAGGCAGGGGCCCAAGGTGCCCAGGAAGAAGACCATATACGGGCCGCTGACGGCGGAGTCGAAGCGGGCGGTCCTGGCCGCGTGGCGAGATCTCTGCGCCGGGCGGAGCGGCTGGGCACCCCCTCAGGACGTGCATATGGAGGCGCGGCGCCGCCGCCAGCCGATGCCCCGCCAGCCGATGCTGAAAAGGGGGCGTCGCCGACGCAGGGGGGCGACCAGGCCGCCGCGCCCGCGGAGTTCATTGACAGGCGCTCCAACCCCGACAGGTTCTGTCGCTTTTACTTCTTACGAAGTTGGCAACGTGATGACGTCTTTCTCTTTCTTGCTGAACCCGTTCTTCGTGGAGCTCCAGCGCTCCGCCGCCGGCGCGTTCGACGGCGAGAATGGCTTGGCTGGCTCGGCGGACTGCACGTGGAAGGTGCAGTGGCAAGGTTACGTTGTGGGCGCCCTATACCTGCACTTGTATCGCTGCATCAAGGGGGGTTGGAGAAATACTCCGTTGCCGGTATGCATTTGCGTTCGCCCACGGGAGGGCGCTTCCGTATGCAAGAAAACCATCCAGGCCGTTCGGTCGGAGCTCCATCGGCGGCGTCTCCCGCGCTTGCGGCAGCTCGGCCTCGACCATTTTTCTGGGCTCGAGCAGGTTTTCCTGGGGGGGGGAAGTGCGCGCAGGGGGGCAAAGTCTCCCATGGGATCGGGCACCTCTGCAAGAACCTCCGCAAGAACCAGACTGCTCGCCGCTGGCGCCGGCGACCGCGCCTGGATCGCAGAGACATCAATGCGGCGTGCGTTTACGTGCACGAAAGCAGTGCGCTTCCAACTCGAGCTCAGTTTAGTTTGCTGTGGCGGGAGCAGGAGAAACGCATTGTGCACGTCTGGATGGCGCCCCGCTGGGTGAGTTATTTCAAACGTGTGTACTTGCGAAGCCACGCCCTGCCGACTGAGCGGTGGAGGCAGAGGTGCGGCCGCCAGGCGCTCATTGCAGCCACGTGGCACTACGGGCCCTCAGCCCCGCACGCGCAGGGGCACCCCCCTTTACAGCAACCCCCGGAGTCTGGCCACAGCGCGCTCAAGCGAGGCGTCAACCACGTTCGGCGGGACGGAAACATGGTTGACCTGGTCAGGGCTGTCGGCGAGCTCGCGGAGGCTCAGTGCGAGGAGCCGTTGGACGAGGAAAACGCTTTTAGTCTCCTGGCGCCCGTCGGCCGCATTGGAGTGCGGCCGACGCACCCAGATCGCTGGATGATGGAGGACGGCTTGGCTAAGAAGTTCCCGGGCCGCACAGAGAACGTCGTCTTGCCTTCCATGCCAAGGATTGTGGACGAGTGCCCGAAGACGAAGGACACAGACCAGGCGCCCATCTGCAAAGTCGTCCGTGGTCGGAAGACGTGCTGGGTCATGCGCACGGGGGCGCAGGCGGCCGTGGATGTCGACGTCGCGAACTCGCTTGTGAGCGAGTTAAGGGAACTCCACGAGGACCGGTTGCGGGAATTGTGGGTGCCCAGCGGGGTGCTCGTCGAGACAGAGGACGCGACGGAGGAGGCCCCCGGCAGAGTTTCCTTGGAAGCCCTTCGGGAACGTTGGGGCCGCCACTGCGTTTGCATGGAATCAGATGGCGCAATCACCCCGACTTGCTTTTATTCTTGCAAGACGGGCCACTGCCCGCACAAGTACAGCGTGGAGAACGTCGCCGGTATCAAGGATTGGGTGGGGACCCCGGCAGGGGGCGCCAAGGTGGGCGCCGCGGAGCTTCGCCGACGGGAGAAGGAGAGGAGAAAACTTGACAAAGCCAGGGCCCGCGTTCGAGCGGCGGAGATGTTGGCGAATTCTGCGCGCTTGGACCCCGACGAGGTTCGCTTGTCGGAGTAAGCCCCCGAGACAGAGAGGAAAAAGATGGGCGGGGCGCGGGGCCGCGCGGCCGCCAGGGCTCCTGCCCGAGCACGACCGAAAGCCAAGAGCGCTGCGAAGCCTGGAGGCGCTGCCGAGAGCGGCGTCGCCCAGGGGGCCGCCGAGCCGGGGGGCGCTGCCGGGAGTTCCGCTCGCCTGGCCGCCAAGGCTCCAGTCCGAGCAATGGCTTCCGCCCAGGGCGTGTCCAAGCTTGGCGGCGCTGCCCCGAGCGGCGTCGCCCAGGGGGTTGCCAAGCCGGGAGGTGCTGCCGGGAGTGCCGTTGGCCTGGCCGCCAAGACCTCTGCCCGAGCGAGAGGCTCCGCCAAGGGCGTTGCGAAGTCCGGGGGCGCCGGCGGGAGCGGTGCTCGGGGAGCCCCCTGCCGTGAGGAGCGGCCAGACAGCGACACCTCCGGCGATTCCTCCAGCAGTTTCGACGGCAGTTCCACAAGTGATTCATGAGCAGCCTCACGCGGACTGCTCGTCGCGTCTGCCACGCAGCCTGTCTTGGCCGACAGGGCCAGGGCTCCCCAGCTCCCCCCCATCCTCCATTCCATCTGCTCAGCATTGGGGCCGCGAGCACCCTGCGGGGTCGCGAGGCGCGCGAGGGGCGTGGCGACATGGCCCGGGAACAGCGCGCGAGCCTTCCCACTAGGGCCTCCTGTGGAGCCCCGCATGGGGCCGCGACGCGCGCGAGTGGCGTGCCGAAAGGGGCTCGGAACCGCGCGTGGGCCCTCCCGCTGGGGCCTTCAGTGCGCCTTCCTGCGCGGCCACGAAGCGTGTGAGGGGTGTGGCGACAAGGCGATGGGGATGATGGTGATGACGATGATGACGATGATGATACGGCGATGGTGGTGATGTTGACGCTTGGGGTCACGACGGCGATGATAGGGGTGATTGTGACCGCGATACCAAAGAGGAGGAGGCGGCGCGGGAGAGAACACAAGTACGAGGTGTGAAACGCGGAGTTCTGCTGATGTAACAGGAGGTCCCAACGCCACAGGATAGCGCGGCAACATTGGGATTTCTGCGCGCCTCGCGTATCCCGTGAACTCTCGTCCTGGGCCGTCGGCTGTCGGGCGCACTGCCCCCCCGGCCGACGCCGCCGAGGCTTGATCTTGGACTGCGGCCGCCACGAGGTCGGGAACGGCAAGAAGGGCGACGACGATTGGTGGCTGGAGTTCTACGCGCTGCTGTCGCGCGCCACGCGCCACGAGGACCTCCTGCTGATGCGGGCGCCGCGCGTTGAGTTTTTCCTGGCAGGGCCGCCGGCGGGCCAGCTGGAGCAGTTTGCTGCGCGCGCGAAGCGGCGCAGGAGGGAGCCGACGGCCCTCGCCAGGGAGCTCGGCTTCAGCGAGTTCATCCGCGAGGCCTGATCTGAGGGGCCGCCGCCACGGCTGGCCGCGCGCGAGCCAGCGGCGCGCGCAGGCCGTCGCAGACGCTTGGATGACCCCAGCCCGCCGTCGGAATTGCACGCGGGAGAATGACCGGCGCCTGTCGGGGGGATTTCACCCAGATCGCGCCCTTCTCGCGTCGCCTTGCCGCGCGGCGCTGGGGAGCTATCCGCGCACTTTGAGTCGCAGTGGACGACCCCCGCGCGTCGATGGGATTCCCTCGGGGTGACCAGGTCGCGTCGGCGGGGGCCCTCCAGCCACTTTCGAGCGGCGCCGCCTGCGCAGTGCCCTCTGCGTGGCTCGCTATCGGCCCGGAGGCAAAGATGTCACCTCTCGTCTCTCGCTCCTCTGGCTTCACTTCGCTTCTTGGCCGCGCGCCCCCCTGGTCGCGTTTTCGCCGCCGCTGACCTGATCCTGACATGTACGCGGCTTCTCCGTAAAATCTTCCTGCGTGCCCAGTAACAGGTCTCACGATGCGTGGATGATGCTGGCTTTTCAGATCTCCGTCAGAATCAGCACCTTCATCGAGAAGATCAGGATGTTCACAAAACCCATTCACCGTGCTTTCATGCGCATTGCCACCGTGGACGCCGCTCAGGCTCGACCCTGTCAAAGGCAGTCAGTAGCCCCCCCCCCCCACTTCGGGCGTAGCGGCTGCTACGGAGCTCGCTGCCAGGATGGCCGCTGCCGCGCGTTGGAAGCGCATGTCGTTCCTGATCAATGACGGGGCAGCTTTCCTGGACCAAACAGGCGGAGCAACGACCGATTGGACGACGCATCACACGTGACAGGCGTCACGACGTCACGACAGGCTACTACTAGTACTACTACTACTACTACTACTACTACTACTACTACTACTACTACTACTACTACTACTACTACTACTACTACTACTACTACTACTACTACTACTACTACTACTACTACTACTACTACTACTACTACTACTACTACTACTACTACTACTACTACTACTACTACTACTACTACTACTACTACTACTACTACTACTACTACTACTACTACTACTACTACTACTACTACTACTACTACTACTACTACTACTACTACTACTACTACTACTACTACTACTACTACTACTACTACTACTACTACTACTACTACTACTACTACTACTACTACTACTACTACTACTACTACTACTACTACTACTACTACTACTACTACTACTACTACTACTACTACTACTACTACTATTACTACTACTACTACTACTACTACTACGACTCCGACTCCGACTACGGCTACGACTACGACTACGACTACAAGTAATACTACTACTATTACAACTACTACGATTATGTTTACTACTACCACTACTACCAATACCACCACCACCACCACCACCACCACCACCACTACTACTACTACTACTACTACTACTACTACTACTACTACTACTACTACTACTACTACTACTACTACTACTACTACTACTACTACTACTACTACTACTACTACTACTACTACTACTACTACTACTACTACTACTACTACTACTACTACTACTACTACTACTACTACTACTACTACTACTACTACTACTACTACTACTACTACTACTACTACTACTACTACTACTACTACTACGACTACTACTACTACTACTACTACTACTACTACTACTACTACTACTACTACTACTACTACTACTACTACTACTACTACTACTACTACACTACTACTACTACTACTACTACTACTACTACTACTACTACTACTACTACTACTACTACTACTACTACTACTACTACTACTACTACTACTACTACTACTACTACTACTACTACTACTACTACTACTACTACTACTACTACTACTACTACTACTACTACTACTACTACTACTACTACTACTACTACTACTACTACTACTACTACTACTACTACTACTACTACTACTACTACTACTACTACTACTACTACTACTACTACTACTACTACTACTACTACTACTACTACTACTACTACTACTACTACTACTACTACTACTACTACTACTACTACTACTACTACTACTACTACTACTACTACTACTACTACTACTACTACTACTACTACTACTACTACTACTACTACTACTACTACTACTACTACTACTACTACTACTACTACTACTACTATACCCTGCTACTGCTACTGCCACTGCTACTTTCACTGCGACTGCTTCTCTTCCTCCGATGGATTATTTAAGGACATGTGTTAGAGTCTCGTACCACGCGTTTTGAAGGTTTGTTTTCCGCCGCAGGGTTTGTTCCGGTTTCTTTCGTCAGGGGCTCTGGGGTCGTTAGGTTTCAGGGGAACGGCAATTTGCGACCTTGTCAGACCGCCGCTTTGGCCGACATGATCGGACCACGCGCACATCGTTCCAATGGCCCCAAGCACCGTCGTGGGATTCAAACACTGACGGTTTCGATGGGGATCGCTCGAAGCAAAATAACTACACACCCACCACGACCTCTGTTACTCATCCATTCGGTATCAAAGAAAAAACGTGGCCCAGGCGAATTGCGATGCTTTATCTTGTGCAGTATGCTAGGTTGAGTCGCCACCACATGTTGCGAGGACGTTTCACTCGAATCGAGGCCGAAACCAATCCAAACCATGGCAAACCCAGGCAAACTGGATGACGTCTCAAGCGGAACCGGGTCCCAACCAGGCCAAACCAGGGGCCAAACCAGGCGCATTTCGAGGATGGCTCAAGCGAAACCAGGCCCACACCAGGCCAAACCAGGGGCCAAACCAGTAGGTTCTGAGGATGTCTTAGGCGGGGCGCGCGGCGAAACCGAGCCAGACCAGGCCAAAACAGGGGCCAAGCCAAGCAGATAAACATAATCACAAAAAAAGGAATCACCCACACTAGGCTCCGTCCATCATCCCCTTTAATCAACTTCGGATGAAAGGGGTGGATCACTCCAACAGGGGGCCCCGCAGGCGGGAACCCGTTCCGAATTTTATAAGGGGGGGCGTTTGGACCGCGCGTCCGCTGATGCGGACGGGGTTGGGCGCAGAAGCCTTCGTTTGTCTCTCGGGTGGTGTTGGCTTGGCGTTATATCTCCGAGCCAGTATCCATAGTCCGATTTTCTTAGAGTCTGAGAGCTCGACTACGCACTAGTAGGATTCAATTGGAGCTGGACCCGGCTGCAGTAAGATTATACCAGGGCTAGATCGATGCCAGCCAGGAGTACCATAGCATTATGTCGTGGCGGCAAAAACAAGATGACCCGAGGTCCTTAAGAGGCCTCCCCAAAGCCCCCAAGAGGCGCTGAAGAGGCTCCAAGAGGCCTCCAAGGAGCCCCGACAGTTTCGAAGCGGCCTCAAGAGTTCCCAAAAGGCATCCCGTAACCATTTTGGTTCAAGCCATTTTTTGGTTCAAGGCAGATCCCACTGAAGCGGCCCGAGTCCAAGGCAGCTACAGCGTTCGGCCGAAGTATGCTTGATGGACGTGTTTGGCTCTGCAGTTTCAATGTTCTCGCAGTCGTTGCCATTGCCTGGCGGGCGCGCGCTCCTTGTCGAGATGTCCAGTTACCACGAGTGAGATCGATGTTTTCTTCGTTCCATGCCACGATGAAGCGGGTACTCTGCATGACACCACCGCACCCGTTGCATCGTCATTTGAAGGGTATGGCAGACAAGCGACTTAATGAGCAACTTGTTTGGGGGTGCCCCTGGACTCTGTTTGCAGCCGTCTGTTACAATTCAATTCAGTTGTATCAAGACGATACGTCCCAGCTCACGCACTACATGAACTTAGGAATGGGAACCTTTGCTATGCTGGGCGCCGTCAGACCGGATTGGATGACCCCGAAAGTCTTTCTCTGTTTCCATTTCTGTGTCTATGTCACCTTCATCATTATTGCGATCAATACCACATCCAGAATTGAGTTCTTGAATGCGAGCCGCGTGAGAATATGTTTCCGTTCCATGTTCTGTTTAATACACGCAAAGCCCATGTTGTCCTTGTGTTTTGGCAGTGTGTACGTCGCAGTTGTCTCAGCTTTTGCTCCGTGGCATGACCCTGTAGACGTACGTCAGGAATTGCTTG